CTTTATATTACTCAAGTATTAAGTTGTATTACTTTTTAAATTAGCAACCCCAAAAGAGCTACAGGAATTGATGAACATTATTTCAGCAAAGTTACAAAACTGAGGTACCAGAAAGAAAAAAGAAGTCTAATTAAAATTTCGCCTTATTGAATCTTGTTAGTAGAATAAATCCTTTTTTTCATATGAACAATTCTTTAAGTTATTACAAAGCTACTAGGGCAGGAGACAGAACTGCAAATATGTAAAAAAGTCAGCTGTATGATAGTGGTAAAGGGGAGAGAGATTCTCTGCTGTTTTTAGAATCTGCCAAGGATGTAGGTGCTAGGTTTTGGGCAAGAGAACTCTTTCAGACTCATGCCATCTGGCTGGCTTTTTTCTGTGCCAGTTGTTGTATCGGCCCCTGTCCTGCCTCTACCGCATTTCTTGAAGTAGGAATTAGATTGAAATACATTAATTGCCAGTTACCTGACTGGAAACATACCTATTAGGTGATTTAGAAACCCAAGGAAGTGATCTAAGCTTCTTTGCTTGAGACTTTGATCAAAAGTCTCCTCATCCATGTCGTGAAGCAATTTTTGGATACTTTTCCCCTTCCAAGCCTCACTGGCAGCAAAGAAGCCTGGCTGTAGGATCTGCTCCAATTTGCTTTCCAATGCACATGATGCAGTCAAAAAACCCAAAAAAGCTCCACCACCACTCCCAGGTTCTCTATCTCATTCTTTTAACTAGTCTTTCTGAGATGCCATGCGTAGTTCCTTTGTTTCCTGTGCTTTATTTTTGCAGAAGACAGAGAGATCTATCACACCAAGGTTTTTCAAGGCCTGCGTCTGTGTGACAATATTGGTAACTCACTTGGTCTTCTAAACTATTCTGTAAACACAACTCTCAATCCTATATTGAGGATAATTAGATATTAAAGTTGTGATTGTAGGCTCTCCACATACTGGAAGAAAGGATTTGAAATTACCAGAATTTGGTATTATGTTGACTTTTACTTGAATGCAACTGTGTGATATCATCCAGGCCTGTCACAAACTGTTGTTTAGAGTTAACAGACACCTTCCATACCTGGGAAAAAATAAGGATACTGAAGAGCAAGAATAAAGAGCAGATACCTGTATTTACAAATACAATATAGATTTTCTTGACTAAATCACTGCTGCATTATTGCTGCAACTTAATCTTAAAAAACAAAAATAAAAAAGAAATCAGTCAAATAATTAAGCAAATAATTTGGTCATCTTTAAGGATATTTCATTTTCCAATTGTGTGTGCAACCAGCAACAGTCAAAGAACAAAGAGCAAACTCAAGAACGTATGTTAAATTGTGAACTATTCACTGCATGCATACTTTACAGCAATGAGATAATATTCAGTCTTTGATATTTAGCAGTGATATTTATTTTATGTGTTTAAAACATTTTTCATGAAGGAAAATATTTTAGGTGCTATCTTACTTGTCAAATTACATTACTATTATTGATGGTACCAAACTGATTTAGAAGGATGAAAAAAAATTAATTGCACGTCAATAATTCAGGATTCCAGAAAACAAAGGGGAGGTTTTAAGGCAACATTCCTCAGCCTTACATGTTGACACCAGTGGGATTATATGTTTTGCACTAAAGGAACATTTTGCCTGCCGGTGTTGTGCAATAGTTGGCCGAGTAACAGAACGGATTCCTCTCCCTGCTGCAGAGCTGTAAATCAAAAATAATCCCACGTGGTGGCTTCTCGTTTATGGCCATACAGCAGGGTTGTGGTTCTGAGAAGGGGGAGCGCAGCAGAAAGAGCATCTGTAGAGATTCCTACAGAATCACACCAAATTCTTTCTGTCTGCAGAAAGAACATTGCGATGTGGTATCCGACAGCTTTCACAAAGTACCACCTGCACTCTCTCTTACAGCACACAGCTGCTACAGATGTGGGCAAGTCATGCTTTGCTCATGCTTCTCACTCTATTTGTCGATAATTTGTGAGCTTTTCCATAGCAACAATGGCATCAAAACATGTATTTTAGTTAGAACAGTTTTAAATATGGCTTAATCATGGTTAACTAACACAGAATCATAGAATGGTTCAGGTTGGAAGGGACCTGAAAGATCATACAGTTCCAACCCCCCTGCCATGAGCAGGGACACCTGCCACCAGACCAGGTTGCTCAAAGCCCCATCCAGCCTGGCCTTGAACCCCTCCAGGGATGGGGCATCCACAGCTTCTTTGGGCAAGTGTCTTCTCTGTTCCAGTGTCTCACCACCTTCACAGTAAAGAATTTCTTCTGAATATCTAATCTAGATCTCCCCTCTTTCAGTTTAAAACCATTCCCTCTCATCCTATCGCTCCACTCCCTGATAAAGAGTCCCTCCCCATCTCTCCAGTAGGCCTGGGTGGTTGAATCATTTCAGTCCTTGTCTACTCTGAGGGCAAAATCATCAACACCTTTTCAAATGTGATTGATTTTCCACTATTGTTTTGACTCATTTCCTCCTGGCAGTCACAGTACCATAACCTGTTCTGTCACCAGTGGTCTTGTCACTCACATGAGAGAGGCTACTGCTGAAACCAAGCAGAATATGATTTAAATTTAGGCAAGTTTTTAACTACTAGTGTAAAATTAAACCTGACTATTGTGTTGTCCTGAATAAGGATGAATGTAAATGTGTGTTTTAAGTGTTTTGCTATGTTAGTGCCTGAATCGTTGCTCAGCTTGACGACAGGGTTGCATGTAGAAGGTTACTGTGATTTGAGAAAGTTAGGGGTTTTGTCTTATGACCAACATTATTGCATCACTGTTATTTTATTTTCATCATTTCGAAACCATTTTGCCATTGTTATGATTATAATTAAGACTAGGTGAAAATGAAACAAAAATTGAGAAGGTAAGAATATATAAGAAGATAAAAAGCAAACCATTTTGACATTGTTATGATTGTAATTAAGACTAGATGAAAATGAAACAAAAATTGAAAAGAAGGTAAGAATATATAAGAAGATAAAAAGAATTAGGACAAAGAAAGGAAAGGCTCAAGAAGAAATGCTTGCTAGTATCAAGATTTACAGTAATGCCATAAAAATGGCATTAATAGTCATGAGTTTGTCTTAAAGACAAACCATTTCATGAGAATAAAAAAATTCAGTCAATAACATGCTCTTTTACCTAATTGCTTCATGCGTCTTATAATTCTGAAATGAATTAATAATCTTTGTGAAGTGCAGAGTGAATTAGTTCTAGGTTAGGGGAATGCTGGGGATTTAGTGTGTAGATTTATTATGTTTTTTAATATTTTCTATTTACTTAAAACATAATAGACTTGTAATGGTTTCAGAAAGGTGAGCCATGCATTCCCTGGATTTATAGTATAGACAACTTGCTTAAGGAAAAAGGGAAGAGCAGAAACTGTTGGTAGAAGCCTTTCTGCTCACTACTGTGTAAACATATTAAGTTTCAACCCTCGTTTTGGTCGAATATACAATACACATTGCAATATCGACGTGTTTAATTTATAATGAAGACCGTTGCTGTTTCAGCAGTGGTATCGCTTGTTCTATTTCTGTCAGAGCAGATATTAAGCTGTACAAGGAACAGCTAAATCTCCAACTGCTGTATTAGCTGGACATCATGTCAAATTAGTGCCTATTGAAGATTTTACTGGGTTTCAAGTACAATCTTGGATTAGAAAATAAATCCTATGTGAAAAATGTCACTCTGCTGTGTGTCACCTGCCTAGTTTATAAAGAGGTCAAATTGACTTCTTGTGTACATTTTCTCTAATTCTTACAGGGCATGAGGTGTAGCCCAATGAAATTGGCTCATACAAATTAGTTGGAGAAAATGTGCTTGCAGTCTTAATGAAAAGATTAATTGTGTGTGTTTTAAAATGGTATAGATGGCTCTGTAGTGCTGCATTTTAAATTTGCCAACTCTTCCATCAAAAGTAATTGTTTTGAAGAGATTCACTTAAGCCTTATTTGGGTTATTATCAACTGTAACATTCCAAACTCTTAATAAAAATTCAAGATTGTTCTTTCTAATTATCACATTTCAAAAATAGTTTTGCCCTTTGGGATTCTGAATATTTGCAATATAAGTGACATCATTTTACAAAGACAAAGAGGTGCAATTATTCCATACTGTACTCTGTTTCTATGTGACATGACTGCCAGATAAAGAAATTAAATTCAGATATGCTCAAGTATTCCTGAACATCTGAACAAAAAACATTCTCCAGATGAAGAAATACGGAAAAATACCTTAATATCCTAGTTTGTGCTTCTTTAATACTATTACAGTTTTATATAAATGTGATCATCCCACAACTCACTTTAAAACACTCTCAAGGCAGCTATAACTTTGAAAGTCTGCAAACCACCATGAGGAGTCAAGAGCACAGCACAGAGGAATTAGCAGATTATTGCTATGCAGTTTTCATAATGATCAGGGTACATACTCTAGGAACTAGACATCTTCTTAGAAGATACACGATAGGAGTCGCACATTACAGGTTTTATGCAAAAAAATAACAGAAGATCTGATGAAGAAGTTCAGGCTAGATGAAGGCTAGTCTCTTGTGGCCTTAAAACATACCAGCCTGTCATTTAATTCCACCTCTGGAAAACGTGCAGCTGCATAAAATGTAAAGAGCACATAACACATATCCTGGGGTGTATTTCTAGGTAAAGGCACGCCTGCAGTTGTAACTTCCTAAAACAACTTGTGTCACTAGTCCTGGAAAGTACTCTGAGATTTGTGATAACAGGCACCTTCGGTCCAAAAGGTCATCAGAGTTTTTTGTGTGATGATCTTCCTCATTTCGCAGGAGGGATCTCTCAATAACCTTTCCCAGGTGGGGAAATGCTGGTTTGTGTCAGGAGCAGGGCTGTTGCATGGCTTCCTGAAACCTGTGCACTGTAAGACAGCCTGTGTTTACCTGTGAATCAGTTCCCTTCAATTTCATTCTTTGATCACAGAAGAGTAATTTTATTATTTCTTTTTTTGCCAGGATTTTGTGTGTTCAGGCACATGGCTCCTTTTGTTCTGTAAAATACAAAAATGGTTTAATCCTCCTGACATTTCGATCCTGAATTCTGTCTCCATAGTACTGGAGCTACTAAACTGCTTTGCGCTGAAATTCCAGAAAGCTGGATACGTCATTTCATGTTCAGGTATGCAGGAGGCAGGAGTGAGTCATTCCCCTCGTCAGCTTCCCGAGCGTTCCTGGGCTGTAATAATGCTTTTCCTAGAACGAGCAGAACAAGTCATACTAAATGCCTACATGTTGTTTTGGAAAAAAAATAATGGGCTTCCTGCCTGCTGATCCATAATGTAAACACAGCTATAATAAAGGAAGGGATGGACACTTAACATGTTATTTCCAGGGAGACTACTGGATGTGATTAAAATGTTACTAGCTTGACTAACTAAAGATATTTGGTGATCATAAGAGATTTGTAAAGCACAGAGGTCATTGAGTATCTACTTCTGACCTGTGCAAGGTCTTTCTACTCTGTCTTGCTGCAGCCCGGGTTTCAAATTCAAGTCAACTGGGCTAGAACAAGTCACTTTGTACACTTAGGCGGTATCTTACAAGGGGGATTTCCACAAAAATGGTTATGCTGTTGCTATTGTAGCTGCACTGGTGCAAGCCCCATTCTTCACAAGCCGTTTGGCTGGTTTTTTGATTTGATTTATTTGATTTATTCATAGTCACTTGTTTGTCCAGTGTAGGCTTAACCTTGTGCATTGGACTTTTAAAGAAACAATAAAGAACGCTGAGCTCTGGTACACATTTGCCAAAATGTCAGTACTTAGAGTCATAGAAAATCCTATTATACTTAGAAATAATACTGTTCTCTGTGTCCTTTTGGTATCAAGTGTCCTGTACTAGAGGATCTTCTTATGACGAATAGATCAACATGTAGCAGTTATTACAGATAAACACATTTCCTGCAGGAGAATTAATGTAAAATGTTAGAAGATATAAAATGAATCTGTTATTTTTTTACCTAGTCCATTGACCTTTTGATTTTCTTATGTTCCTACCAAGCTTTCCCAGAAACCCAGCACACAATCCCATCACCCCTTCAACATCTACACAATTCTCAGCGCAAGAGAGACTACAAAAGGCCAAGATCCATGGAGTCAGCAGAGGGGGAGACAGAAAAACAAGGTTTCCACTGAGGAGAGAGGTACATTTTCTAACTCCCTCAGTTCCAGATTTCAGGAGCTCTTCCACCCAGGCCAAGCGCTCGTGAGCTGCTCTTGGCTAAGTCAAGAAAGTAGTTAGAGGACATTGGTTTGCAAACTTGACAAAGGTTTCAGGTAAACTTTAGTAGCCCTAATTTTTCTCTTGACAGAAAATAAGCATGAAGTCCAGTTTTATGACTTTAGGAGATGACATTTCAGTTCCAGCTTAGAAGCAGGAGCTATTTCCTTCTGGGAGCTCTCGTTCTAGATTCATACAGATCTGCTGTACAGCCGTTCATTGTCAGCAGGCTGACAAGTGCTGTTGTGAATTATTACAGAGATGTCTGAGGCCATGAGCTGGTTGTTTTAACTCAGGTGGCTGAAGGCATCCAGGACAATATTTGTCTGTGGGAGGTCCAGAACACTCAACAACAGCCAAGTTTTACGTGACCACACCAATCTGTTGGTTGAATAGAACTCATTATTATTTTAATTTTCAGAGGCCACGGCGATTACCTTGAGCGATCCTTTCCCAGATGGGAAGCGCTTGATGCAATACCCAGCAGAGAGAAGGGGAACAGCAGTGAGGACACATCTGCCAAGTCAGACAGCCTGTCCACAAAGTCCTGCTCACAACATCAAGCCTCTAATTCCAGAGCCAGGTCCCATTACCCTGTTCTGCGTTTTCCTTCTATTTGCAAGGAGAAGACATCAGCCTGGGTGTAACCTCTCTCCTGAGAGGCCACCAGTCCACTGCCAAACTGTAGCTCTTCTCCTCGCCCGGGGAGAGACCGAGAGAAGGGAAAAACAACTGATGGAGCAAAGGGCATCCACGCAAGATCACGGCAGCTGATGGAAACCCAGGCCCTCCAAACCCCTACTGAGGGGCCCTCTCCCAGATACTGATGGGCTCAAATACTGCTGTCCCCAGGAGACACAGCTGTAGTTTTAGTCTTTAATTTCCAGGTATTAATTATTGTGTTATTCCAATTTTAATCAAAGAAGAAAAAAAATCAACCTAGAAGTATAGCCTGTGCTATTTCTTAGGGATTTTACTCAGGAGGAATTGAGCGTCAGGTGGAGTAGAGGTGTGACAGCGAGCGTGTGAAGAGTGTGAATATTTTTATATCTCTATTCTACTTGCTTTTTATATTCTTCCCCTCCATATCTTCTTTTCCTTGCTGAAATGATGACTGAGAAACAGGGGGGAGGTGGGTAAAGCAGAGCTTCTGTAAAACCTTTGTTAGAGGGAAGGTGGGAAGGAGGGATCCCACGTGTTCCATGACAGCTGCTGGGAAGTGGCAGCTCAGGATGACAACCAGCTGAGCAACGCCAGGATGCAGAGGTGGGGCACGAGCCTCAGCACAAGCACGAAACTGAGCTGAAGACGACAAAAAAAAAAACAAACCCATAAATGCAGAGTGGTGGAGAATTAAGCACAGAGAAAGAAAACAAAGCACATCGCAGAGCTTTTCCAATAAACAAGCATGACTCCTGGTAATTTCCTCTTACCGGTGCCAACGTGCATTTCAAGTTTAAATTTGTGCCTGATCCATCTGGGGGTAAAGTGTGAAAAATAGGGATGTTTTCCCTCCACCCTCAGTGAGTGAGGCAGGATGTGGCAGCGCAAAGAGCTGGGAATAGCAGTGGAAATTGCTGGTGCGTGGGCAGGAGCAGGTACGGGAGGGTCCGTTGGAGCTCTCCCCTGCCCTGGCTCTGAAGCTGGAGCCCTGGGTGGGAGAAGGAGCAGGAGAAGGAGCAGTGATGGGAATATTGCTTTCAGCCACTTTGTGGACAGCTGTTTCTCAGGGGTTAGGAGAACGTGGGGTGGTTTTGTTCCCACTCCAACCTGCTCCTCTTGCTGCCCGTTGTCTAAAGGCTTCTGTCATAGTTTGTCAGTCCCTTTCTTCTGCTTTTGTCCCCCAGAAGACCCGCTGTTCCCCATGTTGTTCCACCAAGGGGAGGAGGACTTGCATGACCAGAGGTTGCCTGGGCAGGCAGATAATTTCCTGCGAGGGGAGAGAGGTTTGGGGGGAGAGAGGCAGGAGGCCAAGTCCAGGGCTGCCCCTCGCTGGTGCTGGGCCAGGAGAGGACATGTTGGGTCAGGACGTCCTGCCGGGCTCAGCCCCGCTTCCTCCCGGGCTCTTTGCCCAGTCCTGTTGCAAGCGAGCCCAGACCTGATGCACCTCCTGCCTTGGGACTTCCCCCACTCGTGTCATGACTCGGCCGGGGGACCGTCACTCCGCAAAATGCTCGAAGCACCGACGGCAGAAGCGGGGCCAACGGAAAAGGTGAGGGAAAGGCCGGGAACCGGGAGCGGGGGGTCTCGGCCAGCAGCTCCGGCTCCGGGTTTTTGTTGCAGCTGCCTGGAGCGGGCTCCGGCTCCGGCGCGCCCCGCTCCGGCTCCCGGTTTTGCTTGCGGCTGCCGTGCGCTGCCGGAGGAGACTCCGGCTCCGGCCGGGCCGGGCGGACGGGGATCCGGTGCCGGGTTTTGGCCGGTGCCGGCTGGGGAAGTTGCTGAAGTTGGGCCGCGAGTGGCGGGGCCGCGGCGCGTCCTTCCTGCGGCCCGGCCGGTGCATGATGGAAGCAGCATGGCCGCCCACCTCTCCCTCACACAGGTACCGCCCGACCCGCCGCCTCCTCGCCCGGAGCGGCCTCCCGGGGCTTGGGACGGGGGGTGCGGGAGGGTTCGGAACCGGAGCGGGGCCTGAGGGTGTCGGGGGCCGCCTGGACGCCGCCGGGGAGCGGCTGGGTGCTGCCCACAGGGCTTTGTGTGTGGCCGCCGCCGCCCTAACGGCCGCCGCCGCTGTCAGGTGGTGGGTGAGGCGCGGGGGGAGCGGTCCGTGAGGGGAGCCCCGAGCCGCGACCCCGGGGCTGAGGCGAGATCCCGGCCGGCCGCAGGTGCCTTCCCCCTCCCCGACCCCGGGGGCTGAAGCGGGGGGGACCCGGCCTTGCCGGGGGGCGGGCGGTGCCGCCGCCGAGGTCCGGGCTGCGGCGGCTGTAATCGCGGTCCGTCTTTTGTCTTCTGCGAGGACACAGGTTTAAAGAGCGACAGCGACAAAAAGCCCGGCCCGCCCCGTGGGTTTGTGAAGGCAGGTGGTGAACCGGGCGGCGAGGGGAGGGTTGGAAAGGCGATAGCCCGGGGTCAGGTAACCGGGTGCGGGCCCGGCCGCCCTGCCCGCTCCCCGCGGCCAGCGGAGGGGTCAGCTCGGGGGGCAGAGCTCGGTGCCCTCCTCCAACGGGAACTTCACTCCAAAGGTGCTGCTTGGAAGTCATTTTACCTTTTTCTTTTTTTTCTGTGGTGGGCCCCGTGGCCTGGGGACAGCGTTTTTGCCCGGACAGATGCCTCATAGTGAAGAGCTTTGCAGGTCTTAAAACTTGGAGAGATCTTGGCACCCTCTGGTGCTCTGGGGATCTCACTTTGCCCAAGTCTTTCCTGCTTGTGTTTTTTGTTTGGTTTTTTTTTTTTTTTTTTTTTTTTTTTTTTTTTTCCTGGTGGCAGTAGAATTGCTTCATACTGTTAAGGTTACCTCTTTTTTTTCCCTAGAGACTTCATAGCTAATAAACTACACTTTTGGGGATTTTTTTTGTTTTGTTTACCAGGGACATGGAAAATTGGTATTCCTGCCCGAGGCGGGCCTGTTGGTGCACATGCTCCTGCCTTGGGATGCTCCGGTCCCATAATCAATTGTCACGTTTACAGAAATTAAAGCTGGTGAATAAGCCTGACTCACTAAAGCACATATAAGCCAACTTTAGAAGTTGGCAGCAAGACTGCTCAATTTGCAGTTACTTATGTAGTTGACTTCTGAAAAAAATCATCAACTACTGAAAGGAAAGAAAGGATACTTCAGTGAAAACATGAACTTCAAATACATGGAGAAAATAAATGTGTCTTTAAAGGTCTAGAGATATGTGCTTATGAAGTAGTACCTTCTGTGTAAGCTTACTTTAATATTAATAATGTTAGATTAGCCTTTTCTGTGTCTCTTTTTTCAACAGTCTTCAAGCGAAAAAGTTTTTTTTCTTTTTACTGCAGAGGAAAGCACTTTTCATAGAGCGGTAGCCTTAATTCTGCTGGTCTAAAGGCATGGGCTATTCTGGGTCTTTATTTGGAGGGAGGGGAGGAGTGTCTGCTCTAGTGCATTCTAAAGCAAGACATTATTGCTTACAGGCTGTGTAATCCTTTCATTGTAGAATTTATTTACTCTTTTGGTCACATGGAAGGGGGACTAAATACAAACGTGATAATGTTGACAGAAGCAGAAAAATCACCAGTATCCTTAAAACCATTGTGACTACAGCTTACATCAGTGGTTAAATTGAGGAAGCTATTTCTGTTGTTGTTGACCACTTGTGTGGGTGTTGGGTTGTTTTTTTTTCCTTTGGTTATTTTTTTTCTTTTTTGCATTGCATAAGGATCATCTTAGAAAGTCTAGCAAGACTAAAGATGATTTCTTCAATGTATGCTCTAACTTTTGGAATTTCAGGGCTATGAAAAGGCATAACAAATTGTTAAGTGTTCTAAATCTGTTTAGATGAGCATGAGGAAGTGAAAATGACGGTGTAGGGAGTTGTGGGGGGTGGTGTACAGTTACTCGCTCCTGTTAGATCAGTTACTGACAGCAGCAATAAAAAGTATGCAGATTGGTACTTTCTGCTGTAGCCCGTGTGCAGAGAATAAGAGCTATATTAACCTGCAGTCAAGCTCACAATTGTGTCAAATTTTCTTTTCTCCTTCCCTTTTTCGCTTCGACTGTGATTTAACGTAGCTAGGAAGTTGGGTATTTCCAACTGAGACGAGGGTATTTTCAGATGACTTTGCAGCTGCAGTGTCTGAGAGGGCTGGGCATCCTTTATTTGAATACCAAAGCTCTGTTTAAGTAATTTGAAACTTTTTGGTGCTAATTGTATTTTGTTGGCTGATTAGTAAAAGTATTTCAGGCCTGCGTATCTGTAGTGAAATTTATTACACCAGGTATGCTTGAAAGAGTGTTGCAAACTGAAGGTGATTATCTCCCTCTCCTCAATTTAGTAATAATTTAAAGTGTCTTTTCTCTCCCCATTTCGAACTCATTCTGCAACATCTTGTTCCCACTTGCATTTGCTCACCAAGCGTTATGTTCTAAGCATAACTGTGAATTTAATGGTAGAAGCTTCCTTAGAAGTTCCCTAAGTGAATGTTTTGTTGTGGTTGCCTTTAGTTTGGAATCAAACTTAGCAACATCAACGGGAAGGAACTGTTCCTGTCTCACAAATTGTCATCCCTTGTTGAAAAACTCAAATTAAGCTCAGCCAATATGAGGAGTTACATTTTTGACCTTCCAAGGATGGTCGCTTATCTGACCTGCTTAATTTAGGGAGTTAATGGAGGAAGAAAGAACAGAAATCTGAAGGTGCAGAAAATCTGCATCTTGAGAGGGGGGAAGATGCGTTTGTTGAAAGCTGTTGTAATACAGACGCTCAAAGACTTCTTGTTGCTCTTGAAAATTGAACTTGTGATTTATTCTGAAAAACTGCCTTTGTGTGACGGAGGAGGAAACTCACCGTTTGGGGTAAAGAAGTATTTAGGCAGAATGTGAAGATAACTTTTTGTGTTTGTTTTCCTGATGTCGTGAAATAGTTTTGGTGAAAAGTGGTAGTCATCCTAAAAAGCAGTTGTGGGCTGCTTGGGTAAACAAGACAAAGTCGTGCAATGTGAGTTTGTATCCTAATTAGCTGCAAGTCTCAGTTTAAACTTCAGTATTGTGTCACAGAGTCCAGAGCACTGTGGGTTGTTGCTGAAGGGAAGCATTGAATATTATAGCTGAGGCTAAGCCATATAGATACCTGTCTATTGTGGGCATTGCCAGGGCTCATGTCTTGTTACTAGAATTCATTGGGATCTAAATACTTACAGCTTGAACGACACTATCATAGCAATAAATATATTATCTATAATGTAGAGCCAAAGCTTTTGAGGTCTCTGACAAACTTCTGATTTATATTTTTATTTTTTGAAGGCAGCAACAAAATGATAAAATTAAGATCTTAGTTTATTTTTTTACCCAAGTGAGAGATCTGTTGTTCCTCTTTCTGTCTTCCGTGAGCTGTGAGGAAATCTGAGTTATGCGCGCGTGTGTGTGTGTGTGTTTAAACTTGCATATGTTGGAGGCTGGTTGCTCCTAAAGCAGGTAGAACTTAATTTTTTTTTTGATCGATATTGCATCAACCGTGTTACAGAGTAGAGGAATCTAAAAAGGCAGTGGAGCTACTCTTTAATGTTATACAGGCTTTGTTCAGTACTGATTAGAAGATGGTGGAGGTTTCCTGTAGTGATTTGAAAATTAAATCGAACCATTCTTAATTATGCAGTGACAGACATCTTTGCAGAGAGGAGACAGCAGAGTTTCTGTGCACACTTCAGCTGTTTAGTGGGAATTAAAGTGCTGAAATTTGAAGTACTTGATTCAAATTCAT